TCTCTCTCTCTCTCTCTCTCTCTCTCTCTCTCTCTCTCATAAATGAACACTTGATGAATTACACTTTTCTGTGAATTGAATATTGAAGTGGAGAGAGCGCACGTACACGGGGTTGTAGGGCTGTGCAATTAATCGCATGCGATTTTCAAGTGAACTACGGCTCTGTGTATTAAATGCCGCTCCATCTGAAAGCAGGTGATGGAGATTTACTACTAATCACAGGAGCGGCTTTACTGACGAGATGCGCTTGACAATCACGTGATTAATTGCACAGCCCTACGTGGTTGCCATGTTGACAAAGATAAGTAGTAGACTTAGTAGATGTTTCCTTATTGTGCAAGTGGGAAGCTCTGTTTCGGGGATTACGTCTCTTTATATCAGGTAACCCAGTTGTGTTCCTCTGCGGCCAGATTAAACCTTGCTATATATTATGCGCCATTCATTATTTTTTAGAAACCTCGCACTTTTCTGCTCCATTCTAAAAGGTGTTCTTGTATTCAAATTAAACACGGTCCACTGCTGCACACGTGCCATAATATCGATACAGGGCCAGCTGTATCGATACTCGTATCGTCAAATCTCTGTGATGTTGTATCGATGTATCGAACACAGCACTACTTTGGACCGCATGCAGGGTGCCACCCAAAGTGCTGCTATAATCAATCAAAAAACAATTTTTTTTTCATGATCAATCGTCGCTGTCACGGCCGAGTACTCGATCTCTGTTGCACATCCCTAGTTCAAAGTGCCTTGTATATTACTTCATAGAAAACAAAATTTACTCCGTAGGTTTACTGGCGAACCATCTGCAATGTAAAAACAAATTTCAAGAACTTTATGCAACATGCTGGTATTTCTGTTTGTCCACAGTTTCTGTACAACAATAATACTCGTCAGCAGACAGAGGCCAGAGACGACTTGCACTGTCCCTGGTGCACGCTCAACTGCCGTAAACTCTACAGCCTGCTGAAACACCTCAAACTCTCCCACAGTAGATTCATCTTTAACTATGTGGTGAGCACAGTAGGACACATTCATAAATCTCTGCCTGTTTAATTCCAAAAGTTGAATAGAATCAATTTATTAGATTAAAAATTCCTTATATAGTTATACATAGGGCTGGGTAGTATGATGATATATATCATGGCAATGATATAGAGTGTTTATAGATGGAGATTTTAATATATCTTGGTATGTAAATATGTCCATATGCAGTATTATAAGTTATTTATGCATTAGAGTGAAGCAAGACGCATGAATGAGAAAATAAAGTGTAAGAAGTGCGGTAAGCTGTGAACAATTAAGAAAGAATTACAAGTGAGTTTGTTATCCTGTAACTTATTGTTCTTGAATGCTGTTTTCCAGCCTCATCCTAAAGGTGCTCGGATAGACGTGTCCATAAATGAATGCTATGATGGCTCATATGTTGGCAATCCACAAGACATCCATAGCCAGCCTGGCTTTGCCTTTAGCCGCAATGGCCCTGTTAAGAGGACAGCTGTCACCCACATACTTGTTTGTCGGTATGAAACCGGTCTCAGTGTGTCAGTGTGTTTTGGGAAAAATGCTATTATTTTAGACTACAGGGTAATTTTGATATTTTAGTTTTATGTTTGAACCCAGCATTAAATATAAATTCCCAATTCCCAATTATTAATTTTGCCATTTTTATTATAAATGATATATCCATACAAAAAAAGCATTGTCTCAATTTTTTATTTATTTTGAATTTAAACCTGTTACAGGCAATAGTGTGTTGTCATCACTGACAACTATTTAAAATCAGCTCAACTGCTTTTTTAAATTGAGCTTTCCCCAGTTTTGATGTCAACAATTATACAGGGATGTGCATATTGAATAAGCTGCCAGAATGCCTGTAAAGGTTTTAATGTAGAAAAAATCAGGGAAATGTGCCAAAGGCTGCAAATTGGGTTTTGCTTAAACCATTATGGCCTGGTTTCACAGACTGGGCTTAGGCCATAGTTCAAAAAGGACATTTAAGTAATTTTTTATACACGGTCCTTAGAAAAAAACATTACTGATGTGCATGTTGAGACAAAACAAAGGCACTGATATATATTAAGATCAGTCAGTGGAAGTTTCTTTCAGTTGAAACAGCTCAGACTTAAATTTTAGTCTGGGACTAGGTTTAAGCCTTGTCTGAAACCGGGGGTATGAATTTTACTTGATAAAAAAAAAACTGCTTGGGCATTTGCATGACTTTACTTATTGTTGGCATGTTAAATATAATCAATGTACGATTTTGCATCAGTCACTCTGTGTTCTTTTTACTGACAAAATCTTATGTGTGCTGCATGATAAATGCGGAATTCTCCTGTTTTATAACTTGTTGTGATGCAAGAAATGTTAATTGATCTTTCTTAATCCTTCACTTTCTTTCAGGCCAAAGCGAATTAAGCCAAGTCTGTCTGAGTTTTTAGAGTCAGAGGACGGTGAGCCAGAGCAGCAGCGGACTTATGTGAGCGGACATAATCGTCTGTATTTCCACAGTGACAGCTGCATGCCTCTCCGTCCACAGGAGATGGAGGTGGACAGTGAGGATGAGCGGGATCCAGAATGGCTCAGAGAAAAGACCACCACGGTTAGTCGACTGGTCAAACAAGTACCGTTTTCAACAAGATAATAATTGATAATTGCATTTGAATTGAACAGTTTACACTCTTTTTTTGTATTATGAGTCTGACTGAAACTATTCAGTTCATGCTTCATGATTAGTATGTTTCATTTTGCCTGAAGCAAATCGAAGAATTCACAGATGTGAATGAAGGAGAAAAGGAAGTAATGAAGTTGTGGAATCATCACGTTATGAAGAATGGGTAAAAATGCATTCATATTGTCTTTCTTTTCCTTATGCTAACTGTATTTTTAGAACCTTGATCATAGACTTACAAAAACATCCAGCATTGGTGCTGTTCTTATCTTGCTAACTGTCCTTTCTCCAGATTCATTGCTGATAATCAGATGAGACAGGCAAGCATGCTGTTTGTGGAGAACTGCGGGCCATACATCATCCGCAGGAATCTGTGTCAGAACTTTCTGCTTCACCTGGTCAATCTGCATGACTTCAATCTGGTCACAACAGCAACCATTGACCGGGCCATGGCCCGTATGAAGGAGATAGAGGAGTCACTTCCTGAACTAGAGGAGGGGCAGGAGTCATCAGATGCCACTTGCAATGGTCACGCTGTGTCCTCGGGTGTTTCACTACATGGCAAACGCACCAAAAGTGGAGTGTCAGACTGACAACATTCGGTTTTACAAGACAAATTATGAACATAATGAACGAGATCTAGTTTGAACTCAAATGCTCCATACTTATCCCATGGAATCATCAGTCTCAATCAACAATATCTGTGGCTTAGAACAATTGTTCTATTTCTGATCTGCCCATATACCCATTTATTAATAAGGAGCCCATTTGAGACTTGAGTGAGTTAGCTGCTGGTATTACAGACTGACACAAGTGCTGTTGACTGAATTGATGCAATTTATTCAACGTTTCCAGTGTAGTTTGTCATACTTATGAACCAGTATCATTTCAGCAGTCATGTTTAGTATAGTCTTTAGCTTTATTTTTTTTTTCTGAAAATCCATTATGCGATGAAGTGAGTTACTGTAGAATTGGGAGTACGGTTAGTTGACCTTTTCTGTATACATTTTATGATTTTGTTTAACCACTGCTTTCAGTGATTATTTAGCACATGGTAGCACTTGTGTTACTACATATGCAGTGGCTGTAGACTCAGAATTGTTGATATGGACACTAAGTTGATATTCAAGTTTCTCAAGTTGGATTTGAAAGCTAAGCAACTTTACATTTCCTTTTTTTTTTAATTACATACAGATACTCTTTTTACCTGTTTTAGATTGGACCAATCAGTATATATGTTGCAGTCTGTCAGCTCCTTGTTTCACATGTGGAGTGTGAAGATCCTTCCATCTTAGAATGGCATCTTTGTATATTTTTTAATACCAGTTCTCTTGTTAATTAGCAATATAAATGCACACTCATGAAAGGAGAACTGCCAATGTTTGAGCCACTAGAAGTACTCGTTTCAAAAAATTTTTGTGAACCCACCTAATTATGCCATTTAAAGTGGGGATCCAGAAAAGTTTTCAATCCAATGTAGGTGATGTCAAACTTTTGTTAATACTGGGTATGTGGTTATATAATAGTTTGTTGCTATTACAAGGTTCAAATGTTGTACATGCCAAAGTATATCAGATACAGCATCCTTTCTCCTTCGATTTGTTTCCTCTGCAAATGCACAAGTTTGGTGTACACAAGAAAACTATTTACAAATTAAAGCTGTGTAAATGCTTGGTTTAAATGGATTTTAATTAATTGTGCTCAAAATGCTATGGGGGGTACATTTTCGAAGTTACAATGTTTCATGAGTCGTGATTTCACATGAATTACAAAACATTTTTAGGAAACAAGTGTTCACAATGCTAGAGCAACGATTTATTTAATAGTAAATGCTAGGTTTTTTTTCTTTGTCATCTGTGCATTGAACTTGAAGTGGGTTTCTATCACTGATCTATTCTAAAATGTTCTCTATAAATGGTTAAGTGGTTTCTATCTACGGGCGTAAAGCGAGAAGCCACGCCCTTGCAACAATCATATCCAATGGGCGGAGTGAACGTCATACGTGAGAAGGAATCTGATTGGATGATACAACTCACAAGCAAGCGCCCTTTTGGTAGGCGCGAGATTTAACTTTAGACTTCTACTAATTTACTACAAATCTTTACCAATCCAGTGAATTAAGTGCTATAAGGCACAAAACGTGTACTGTATTCTTCGTTAACGTAGGGCTATGGCTTTATGTCAAAAGCCAGAAATGGCAACCGGGAACAATGGTATTTCAAGATAGCACTGCTGACTGCTATTTGCTGCAGTGTTTATTTTAGAAATGGATGATATCTATGGCAAAATGGAGACACGATTCTTTCTACCTCAGCATACTAGAATCAAGAACTCTTCCGGAAGTGTCTCCGACAGAAGGACCTCTTATGCGGAGAACCTACTAGAGACGGACAGCAGACCCAAAACCCAGGTGCATCCAAAACACAACAGGCTAAAACGAGCGAAAACACAAAAAAGATCGGAGAATTTCACTGGCTGCGGAAACAATCCCACCCATGTAACTGAGACCACCGAGTCCAGGTCATTTTGTGATGATATTCTGAATAACCGTAAAGGAAAACTATTGACAGATGCTGCAATACCTACTGGCGATAAAGACAACTCGGCTCTTCCTCCTACATCACCAGATCTTCCCACAAAAAGCGTAAGAAAGGAAGGACACCATTCACAAACGGTGCAAAAAGTTTCTCAAATGCAAAACGAGGGATATATGAAACGCAGTAAACTGACATTAAAGATGATGAGCAGCGATATGAGTTTGCAGTTCGTCCCCATTCCTACAGAGAGAGAAGAACGTGGCTCAAGTGACAAAAGCTTAAAAGACATTGGTCATTTTAGAGCTGATAAAGAGGTGTTGCCCAGCTGTTTACGAATTAACACCAGTGACAAGGACCTTTTGATTGATCTGCCAGAGGTTAACATTAACATTGGACAAATCCCAGAGAGATTAATATTAATTATTCAGAGTAGAATAATTTGTTTGCTCAGTCTTTTGTCTTTCCCCCCCTCAGAAATCTGGATGGAGAAATGAATTTGGCAATGAAATGAGCAGTGAGTTGCTGGAAGAGATTCAGATACTCAATTTGCAGTTTCCCGTCCACAGGTTCTTCACTCTTCTCCTGAGGAAGAGAACTGCACCTAAAGAGGATATTTCTGCTTTGGGTAGGAAAATAATAATGTTTTTTTTTAAGAACAAACACCTGTTCTCAGCTTAATCTCTCAATATTTAAAAGAGGAGGTAACAGACGTAGCTCTTTATGTTGTACTTACCCTGGGTATAAAAAAATCCAAGCCAATAAAATGTGACCAAGCGATGCTAAAAAATCCTATTGAAATAGCAGATTGTTATTCAGGGTTAATCAGAATTACTTAAATAATGACTAGAGGATTATAATTACTTTTCAGTAAGAGTTGGAGTTCAAACAAAAGGGTGTGCATATAGGATTTTAGGATTTTTTTTACTTTAAAATGTTCTGTTTGTTACATACATTTTTCAATATTACATTAAAAGGTATAAAAAGATCTGACATGATTTTGCTATAATATACTTAATATATTTTGTGAAAAGTATTTTTTTTTTTCCATGTTGGACGACTTAGTCTGCCATTAATTTTCAGAAGCAGATGAAACTGATGATTCCAAGCATCTTTCAGCTTCTGTCCAGAGAAAGAGAAAACAAGAGTTGGAGGAGCAGACCTGTGACAGGACATACAAATGTCACAGGACAAATAAAGGCTGTGTTTCTGCTGATAAGTTGGACTTTGAACAATTTTCAGGTGGTTTGGTCCCCTCTCATGCAAAGTACAGAAACAGACTGAGCCGAACAAAACGCAGGCAACAACAAACTACATTCTGTGCTGTAGTCACTGAACCAGTGCAGAATGAATCTGTTCATCAGGACGCATGGCCTGGTCATCTACGAAGAGAGGATGTTCTCTGGACAGATAAATATCAGCCTCAACAGTCTAGTGAAGTCATTGGCAACTCTGCATCAGTAGGGCAACTACACAGGTGAAATGAGTCCCTGCATTAATGCCAGATGCTTGTTGTATAGCCTGGTAATTGAGGGGATAGTTAACCCATAAACATGTTTATTCTAGACCAGCGGTTCTTAATCCTGGTCCTCGCGACCTCTGCATATTTTGCATGTCTCTCTTGTTTAACACACCTGATTTAGATAACCAGCTCATTAGAAGAGAGCTCCATGAATTAACTGTTCCAATTGACATGTTCACTTAAAAACACAGATTTGCGCTACACCACTGTCTGCAGCGTCTCCACACACAGACAAAACTTACTCCAGAAGTGTGAAGGGTTATTTAACCGTAATCATGCGATTTGCATAGAAGTCACGTCTCGCGCACTTTAATACCCTTTGAATGGAACATATACGCTTCTTTCAAACTAGAATCATGGCAGAATATCCTGTGATGTCCACTTCGCAGGGCACTTACAGTCGAATGGAACAAACCCCTGAAGCGGTAAGAGAAACATACAAAATGTGCAGAGCGGGGGGTCGCGAGGACCAGGATTAAGAACCGCTGTTCTAGACATTCTAACATTCTAAACAGCGGTTCTCAACCAAGGGGCTGGGGCCCACTATTAGCCCTCAGTGAAAAAATTATAGAAAATACTAAAAATTTATATATTTTAAGTCCTGATCTTTAATCATTATTACGTAAATTCCTTGAAGATTCATGTAAATTCACTGGTTAAAAATAATGTAATCTATTAAGAACGTTCAGCTCTCAAATCTTACGGAATTCTTAAATTTTGCTCAAATTTCTGCTTTGACAATCTGTATTGTATAAAGCACTATTTAAATAAAGGTGACTAGTTACTCATTTTATATGAACACACACAGACAAAAAATATTGTAGACAATAGGGGCCTTAAAGTAAAAAAGCTTGAGAACCACTGTTTTAGAGAAACTTTCTAGAATTATGATGTCACTTAAAATAAAAATAATCTGTTTTATTAAGTATTTAAGTATTTTACACCATAATAATGGCCAAATATTAATATACTAGACAATATTGACATACGGAAGTGTATCTCATTTTGTTCATTTCTCCAATGGCAGCTGGTTGAAAGAATGGAAAATAAGAGCAGACACTGAGGAGAGGAGAAGACGACAAGAAGAAAGGAGGATGAAGATAGAAAATAGTCATGGTAATGAAATTGTCAATATAGAACACGTGCAGTTATTGTAATAACAATATATGGTATAACATACATTGTCAATCAATTTTTTTTCTTTAATTTCTAAAACAGAAATGTGTGTACAAATCTCTTTACCTGTAGAGTCATGGGACTGTGGTGATTTTGAAGGTGATACTGTATCCATAGACCATGAACAGGAGCTGTGTAACACAGTGCTCATGATTGGTCCATCAGGAGTGGGCAAAACGGCTGCTGTGTATGCCTGTGCACAAGAGCTGGGATTCAAGGTCTCAGTCCAATATGTTCTCTTTATATTAATGCTATTACAAATATTACAATAAGCAAAATCCTGGCTGTCTGTTAAACCAGCCTTAATTGTATCTTCCTCTGTTTTTTGGTCTCATAGGTGTTTGAGGTGAATAGCTCAACCCTGCGCTGTGGTCGTCTCATTCTCTCCCAGCTGACAGAAGCAACTCAGTCTCATCAGGTGGACATTCAGAAAATTAAAACCCTCAAATCTGAAATCATTAACCAAAGCAAAATCAAACCTGATCCACCTTGTGAGTGACCTTATACGATATTGAATTCTTGTTTAATTAGTTGACGTTTTGCACAAAATGCCTATTAAGAAATATATCGTGATATCAATTTTGGCCATATCGTCCAGCCCTACCTACACCGATGAAAACTAAATGGAGTCTCATGGATTCTCGCATGCATTAAACTGGATAAAACTATCATTATTATTTTGTGGATTGAATCTGAATAATTTTGAAAACATTTACTGTATCTTCTTTTTTTTTTTCATATGAATCCAGGCCATATAAATCATCATCGAAGGAAAACTTCAAGTTCTCCTAGCATTTCCCGTCTAAGCACTAAACCACAGCCAGTAAAACTCACTCGCTTTTTCAAGTTGAGTAGCAAAACGTCTGTAGGTAAAACCTCTGATGGTCCTGAACATTATATACATGGTAAGTGTACTAGAACTAGTTTTATAAGAACTTCAAAAATGTACTTGAATTAACAGAGGGCCTGGTTCACTACAGCATTTAATAGATGTCTCTGCTTTGTCTGGGTAAAGTAAGTACACATTTGTATAACATCTGAAAAAATAATAGAGCATGTACTGGATAGTATAAATATGAACAATTGTGATTATTATTTTGATTATTCATCACAAATGTAATTACAACAGCTGGCAAACTGAAACCAGATGGGCTTCAGAGATCAGTGTCTGGTTTTAAGGACAGTAGACAAGGTGATCAAGAATCAACATGCCCTTCTAAAGGTCCTACTTCACTTGGACAGAGCCGAACAGTCCCCATGTCACTTATACTATTTGAGGAGGTAAGAGTGGAAGCTGAAACGGATTACATAACACTTCATGATTTGTATATTTGCTGTGTTAAATGATTATAAAAGCATCGGAATTAATGAATAAATTAATTGTCTATTAGTATAAATAACTGGTTTTGCTGATTTAAACTCCTTTTTACTTGTTGACACAAGTTTTTAATGTGCTGCCAATGTTAAATGTGTCCCTTAGGTTGATGTCATTTTCCCTGAAGATGTTGGATTTCTTGCAGCTATTAAGACTTTCATGAGCACAACCAAAAGACCAATAATTCTGACAACCAATGGTGAGCAATGCTTTACTGCATAAAATGCACTCAAGCATTTATTTGTTTGTTAAAATGTTTCTTCTTCACAGACCCATCATTTAGTGGAAGACTTAAGGGGCATTTTGATGAAATCCATTTCCAAACTCCTTCACTGGTGAGAAAAAACAATATTTGAAAGCAAATATTATTGTACACCTTTTTATGCCACATACATGGTAAACTACTGTTCACAATTGGTGTGCATTTGTTTAAATTAGCTGTTATCTGATGGCATTGTTGTTATTTTGGATAATTTCATAATTATTTGAAGTAATAATATTATGTATAATTTTAAACATAGGAAACCATCAGGAGCTATCTGCAGTGTTTGTGTGTGGTGGAGAACAAGAGGACTGATCCAGAGGACGTGGCCTTTTTGCTTTGTCAGAATAAGGGGGATATCAGACAGAGTATTCTCCAGCTTCAGCTCTGGGTCTGTAGTGGTGGAGGGAGCACAGAACTACAAATTCTCAAGAACATACTCAAAGTGAGCCAGACTCATATTTATTTACTAAAGCCTTTACTACTTTATTAAGTTTTCTGCGCATGAAATTATAGAGATGTAAACAGTTGTCAGTCTCTAGAAGTTTTTCGTTTTGCATGATCGTGTGTTAGAGCAATGTTGCTTTGTTACGTGTTGCTGCTCTCTTAAATCTTATTAGCAATATATAATATTTGATTACAACAGCTTGTGCCCATTCCATGTATCCTCAAAGATTTTTTTTCTGCTAGTACAGTAACATACTGCACTGTAATACAGTATATGTACTATGATACACTGAGGGTGTATTATTATTATGGCATTATCAGATTAAAATATTTACCTACAAATTGAACTGTGGTTGCAGGGATTAAAGTTCTCCGTCGCTACGACGGATTTCCGTCAACTGGAAAAAATGAGGGGAAAAGAAACATTTAGCGCATTGTTGTTGTTGTACCAAAAATCATCCCCGCCACGGCTGCAGCGTCTCAGTGACAACATAGTGACGCCGCTCGCATCATTCACAGTCGGGTTATTAGCAGAGAACACAAAGCAGAACTTGAATTTCGGCGCGGGATTGCGGCTATTAATAACAATTCTACTCATTCCGCACTTATAGACGGTTTCATCGGGCGCACGCGCCTGGCCCGAAGTTAACTTCCGGTATGTGTTTGTTTATCAGTCTGGCTATGGCGCCGGCTACAAACGCAGTTAAAGTGATGAGTAGACTGAAGTTGGGCTCAGGTGGTTGTGCTGTGGGATGTGTTTCCCATACATTTATTTATTTGTGGCGCTCGCCACAATATCAAAACTGACGGATTTTCTTCAAGGCTTCGTTGAATAAACATGAGCACGTACTGCACGTTTAAAAATCAAAACGAGGCGCGGGTGTTTTTATATCACTGTATTTCTGAAGGAAGACTATCTTTAGAAAATTTTCGATGTCATTTTCATTTCATCTTGCATGTTATATGCTTGATAAAGCAGCGTTTGTGAGCCGTTACTGGGGAAACCCGTTTCTCCCGCTTTAAAGCACCTCCTGCTGGCAGAGAATGAATTGGCATTTTCAGCAAGTCCGTCTGATTTACCCAGCAAACATATTTTGCTTATAAAAAATAATCTACTCTAGAGGGACTACTTGGCTGCTGTTATTGATTCTATTCGGAAGTCTACCGGAAGTTAAGTTAGGGCCACAAAAGTGCGCATGCGCAGTAACGTTTGTTTATGTTATTGCCGTTGAAACCGTCTATAACATGATGACAGATGACGGAACGTATCATTTGCACGTGCGTTTGAGTCTTGAGAACAGTTTGCAAATGTGATATTGATTTAATACAACAGTTCAATAAACAAGTACTGCCTGATTTTGCTCTATTTCTTCAACAAAAATAGTTCCAAATATAGTAACAGCTCAGCCGCTGCACATCTCTAAAAGCAAACCGTGTTTAATTCATTCAATGATGCGTTTTTGAACGAATCTAGTGAAGAAATTTATGTCTTTAATTCATAAAGACAGTCACTTGCTTCATTCCTGAATGAATCAGCAGTTTGAACGAATCAATTGAATGAATGATTCAGTGATAAAATTAGTGATTTGCCGCCACCTGCTGGCGGATTTAGTTTCATTTTTAGCGTATAATTTCAGTTATTTAAATCATTTAATATTTCTGTATTCAAAATTGTATTTTTAAAACATTAATCTACACATGAATGTATGAATTTAATTGCACTCATGCTGCCTCTGAGCCTCATTAAACGTCTGAAAATGTACCTACAAGCCACTTTTGTGTTCTTCTGTGCCACCTCTGTAGTACAAATTAATTTATTAATACTAATTTCATATGATTGGTAATTTATTTATCTTATTCTGCTTCTTATTATATTGTTTTAAATAGACATTTTAAAAAGCTTATAAACATACATTTTTTTTTA